TGTGTATTTATATATACATAATAAATATACACAGTATACACACATATATATTATGTAAACAAAAACTTTTATTTTGGATGCGATTAATCACGATTAATCGTTTGACAGCACTAATTTATTTAAATAAAATTGTTAAATATAAACTATAAAAACAATACAATTTATTTAAATAACAGTAAATTAAAAAAATCTATAAAAAAGTAAAATATTTAGTAAATTTATGTCTAAAATTGTCTGCATAATTTCGAGCTATTATTGCTTTAAAACCTTATAAACTATTACGAATAGTTGTTAAACTATAAACTAACAAAATACTTGTTTCTTGCATTTATTTATATCTTTGTTATTTATATTTCATTTACATTACATAATTTCTTTATTTAGTTATATTTCATAATTCCCTAAAATCTTTAACAAAGTACAAAGTACTCCATCAGTTATTCACATTTATTTTTATATTTATGTTGTGTTTATTTATACTTTTAAGTTCACAACTTACTCATTAATATCTTTAACACAAAGTCCTCCTCATGTGCATGTTATTCATTAATTTATATTTTTATTCAAATATTTTTATTTAAATATTTTAAGTTCAATATTCATTCCCTAAAATCTTTAATACAAAGTCCTCCTTATATATGCATGTTATGTGATTTATTAATTTTATTTTACTTTTATGTAGACATTATTATGTTCATATTTCCCTAATATCTTTGACACTAAGTCCTCCATGCATGCATATTTCAGTCTGCTGGGCGAAGCGTCTGACCTGCACCATGATGAGCTTGCGTTCTCGCGGTCTGCCGTCGGGCCACTCCTCACCGAAACACAGGTGAATGTCGTAGAGCGGAGACTCAGACGAGGACTGACCGCGCTGGTGAGCGATCACACCTGCACACACACACACACACACACACAACACACACACACACACACACACACACACACACACACACACACACACACGAGTCATGACTATGAATTTTGTGCGGACGATTAATAATTACAATTAATGATTTAAATAGGTCATTATGCTTGTAACAGCTTGTAACACTCCAAAGAGAAAGTAAAAATTTAAATTGCATCATATGACCGCTTTAAATACTTAAAATTTGCATTTAAAATTGCAAAAAACACTGATGTGCCAAGCTGAAACTGAAAACCGCTATGTATTGAACCGTGTGCTAACTGTACTGTTGCATCCCTAATATCATGCATTTGATGGTATATCTTTAAGTGCTTATATTTAGGGATGCACAATATTATCGGAATCGGCTGATAATGGCTTTAAATATAAATATCGGCATCGGCCCGATATGAAAAATTATGCCGATATGTCTTGCCGATAAGAGGAATGCATTAACACTTAATGTGTTCAGGGTGTGCTAGTGATTAGATCACGTCAGCAGTGTGGCTCATTCTTGAAGCAAAGTGAATGGTGATTAGATTCACTGTTTTGGATCACTGCATTTAAACTGAGAATGCATGTATAGAATGAGTTCAGTGTGTGATAGAGTACACAGTAATAGCACCAACAGCGGCAGCTTCCCCTGGGTCCTAAAGCCCGCTCAGTAATGAGTTTTAATTCCGTAGGGGGCGCTGTTGGCCTACTTCTAATAAAATGAATGCAAAATACACAAATAATATTTAGACTGTGTTTCTGATTAAATAAAGCCGTAATTGATGCCATAAAATCATGAGAATGTTTTGATTTAAAGATCAGAAGCTATAGCTTACATTAACAAATAAAATTTAAAAAATCACTTAAATTAAATAACTTTATATATACTGATTTATTCATTAATGTGTAATATGTTATATTTTTTAAACAAATCATGAGGTCTAAAATATTTTCAGAATTTTTACAACACTTTTGCTTTAGACCATCTACAAATGTTAAATCATAAAATAAAATGTTAAGGTTCTACTGAAGCAGTAATTGATGCCATAAAATCATGAGAATGTTTTGATTTAAAGATCAGAAGCTATAGCTTACATTAACAAATAAAATTAAAAAAATCACTTAAATTAAATAACTTTATATATACTGATTTATTCATTAATGTGTAATATGTTATATTTTTTAAACAAATCATGAGGTCTAAAATATTTTCAGAATTTTTACAACACTTTTGCTTTAGACCATCTACAAATGTTAAATCATAAAATAAAATGTTAAGGTTCTACTGCATCTTTCTGAAAATAAAAAAAAATGCAGTGATTGATATATAGTTTATTTATAGTTATTTTCAATGTACTGTAATTATAAAATAACTTTATTATTGTTTATTTAATTCAAACAAATAAGTTCTTGTTAAAAACTAACCAAAATGAAAAATAATTATGTATCGGCATTGGCTATCGGCCAAAATTAAATTCAAGTTTATTTGTATAGCGCTTTTTACGATAGGAATTGTTGCAAAGCAACTTTACAGAAAATTAAGTTTCTACAATATTTGAAACTTCATTTTCTTTGAATACCTCAAAATGAGTTGAAAATTATCGGCATATCGGCAAAAATCCAATATCGTTACATTTGTACGGCAAAGCGCGACTGAAACCGGCAGAGTAATTTCGCTCGTCTCATAAGACTGCGACTCGACAGCCGCTCACTCACCGCTGAGGAAGGACTCGAGGCAGAAGAGCTTGACCCTGTGCTGGCGCTCGATCAGGTTGGGAGCGTTGGGGTTGGGTGCACACGGGCCGGACCAGTACACCTTACACTGGCACAGGCGCACGGCGTAGATGTCGTGTCCGCTCACCTCCAGGATGAGGCCGCGGTCCATGACGTCCAGCAGGCGGCTCGTGAACACTCGCTGCTTGTCGTTAGTGATGTGTTCGGTGGAGGGGAAGCGGACCTGCTCCAGACTGACCGGCCCGAACAGCTCCTCCTGGTTGACGATGGGCCCCAGATCGCCGTAGAACAGACGACAGCCCTGCGGGTTACTGACGATCACCGGCGGACACACCTCCTTACCGCGGTAATAGAACTGCACCTCCAGATCCGTCACTAAACACACACACAGAGCATTATCAGAATCAGCTTTAGCTTTATGTGTGTGTGTGTTTGTTGTGGTTTAAGGTGCTTCTGGTACATACATACATGCATACATCTGACATGAGAACAGAAAAACATTTAAATAGCAAGACTTAACAATAAATAATAATAATATGAATCTGGAACAGTAGATTTATGTAAAGATTTGTGCATTATTTACTCTATATACAGCTGTATAAATAAAGAGATATGCATTATGGGTGACTTATGACAGGATCTTGTGTTACAGAGCGACAAAAATGCACATTTATGATCAAACGTGTCAAATTAATCATATTTAATGTGATTATATAATTCAACATGTATTAGTATAATTTATTCACATATTAATAATTTATATTATTTAAACATTTTCCATATAGAGCTACTTTTAAGCTGAAATTATCGATTAAACAAGCTGAATTATATCAACACATTATTAAATTTGACAATATTAGTTTTCACAGAGCTACAAAAATTAAAATGTAAGATCAAATTATCAATTAAATTGATCAATATTAATCATATTTAATGGGTTTATATAATTCCATGTGTATTAGTAAATGATAAGGACCTTCTTAATTGATCCTTTTTTTTAAGTTAAATTAAAATTTAAGACCAAATTATCAATTAAACGTGTCAAATGAATCACATTTATATAATTCAGCATGTATTAGTAAATGATAAAGACCTTCTTAATGGATCGTTTATTCACATATTAATCATGAATATTATTTAGTTACTTGCTAATCATGCCAACAATATGCTAGTAACAGGCCAATCATGTTAAAAACATGTTAATCATGCTAGAAACATGTTATCAACATCCATCTAAACTTTCAAAATTCAGGCTTTTACAACTGCTTTAAACTTTCAGGCTAGGCTTTCTCAAGCCAACCTAAAGTTTGTCTTGACAAACTTTTTTATTTAGTTTATTAATATTATTTGCATATTTATTTCCGATATTCCAAAATTCATATTTAAGATGAAAAGCTGAATGTGTGTGTGTGTGTGTGTGTGTGTGCATCGCCGTCAGTCTCATACGTGGGAACCGAACCTGAGACAGACAGACAGAGAGTTTACAATCAATCAATCAATCAATCAAAGACTTGCACACACTGCATAATATACAACAAGACTGAGTTACAAATATAATGCTATGCTATATCACGCACACATAATTCAGCATTCGTCTTGGGAAATAAAATGATTATTTTGTATTAATATAATTTTGCGTAAAATAAAAGATAACAATTTTTTAAACAAAAATAAATTCATAACATTACGCAAATAAAAGTTTTAATGTTTTGTTTTAACAACTCCGTTTTAGACCATCGGAGTGAGGACAATATTGTAAAGTGAGGACATTTTGGCCGGTCCTCACTTTCTGAGAGCCCTTTAAAGGCCAGACTTGCACACACTGCATAATATACAACAAGACTGAGTTACAAATATAATGCTATGCTATATCACGCACACATAATTCAGCATTCGTCTTGGGAAATAAAATGATTATTTTGTATTAATATAATTTTGCGTAAAATAAAAGATAATTTTTAAAACAAAAATAAATTCATAACATTACGCAAATAAAAGTTTTAATGTTTTGTTTTAACAACTCTGTTTTAGACCATCGGAGTGAGGACAATATTGTAAAGTGAGGACATTTTGGCCGGTCCTCACTTTCTGAGAGCCCTTTAAAGGCCTGTTTGAGGGTCAAGACTTGGTTTTAGGGGTCAGGTTATAGTTGGGTAAAGGGTAGGTTTAGGGTAAGGAGCTAGAGATTGCATTGTGTCAATGTATGTCCTCACAAAGATAGCTATAGAGTTGTGTATGTGTGTGTGTGAGAGAGAGAGTGAGTGAGTGTCTGTGTGTGTGTGTGTGTGTGAGTGAGTGAGTTAGTGAGTGTGTGCATGTGTGTGTGTGTGAGTGAGAGTGTGTGTGTATGTGTGAGTGTCTGTGTGCGTGCATGTGTGTGAGTGAGTGAGCATGTGTGTGTGTGTGAGTGTCTGTGTGTGTGTGTGTGTGTGAGTGAGTGAGTTAGTGAGTGTGTGCATGTGTGTGTGTGTGAGTGAGAGTGTGTGTGTATGTGTGAGTGTCTGTGTGCGTGCGTGTGTGTGTGAGTGAGTGAGCATGTGTGTGTGTGTGAGTGTGAGTGTCTGTGTCTGTGTCTGTGTGTGAGTGCCTGTATGTGTGTGAGTGTGAGTGTCTGTGTGTGTGTGTGTGTGTGTCTGTGAGTGTGTGTGCGTGTGTGTGTGCGTGTGTGGGCGTGTGTAAGCGTGTGTGTGTGTGTATGTGTGAGCGTCTGTGTGCGTGTATGTGTGTGTGTGAGGATGTGTGAGCGTCTGTGTGCGTGTGTGTGCGTGTGTAAGCGTGTGTGTGTGTATGTGTGAGCGTCTGTGTGCGTGTGTGTGTGTGTGTGTTACCCGGGTTACTGTGTGTCTGAGGAATATCACACACGTCATAGATCTTCAGCGGGTTCATGGGAACCTCTTTGGTCCCGTCGTAGATGAGGTTGAACTCGCGGCTCTTGTTGAGGGCGCATCTCAGCTGCGCTTTCCATTTGGCCGGATCCGGCTCGTCCACGCCTTCCTGATACTTCCCGGTCTCCACGGCCCAGGCCTGACAAACACACACGGATCGGGTCAGTCCCGTCCCGCTGTAATCCGGGCCCTCCATCCCTCACCTTAAAGATGGTGTTCTCCTCCTCCTGCTGCGGCGTGTGACGCGTGGCGTGTTTCCACGGGATCTGGAAGCGTTTGGTCTCGCGGTTCAGCCAGATCAGACCGGGAAACGTCCCGTTATCCACCTGAGACACCAGCCAGGGCTTGAGCCGCACTCGCCGCGGATGAGAGGACATGACCACCTTCTGGAGAGGAGGAAGAACACACAAACCAGCCTGAAAATAATCTAACTCAGCCTACAAACACTTACAATATGTAATAAAACTATTATATTAATAAACCATACTTTTTAATACTTTTATATTTAATACATTTTAAAATGTTAATAATATTATATTAATTAATAGATATTTTATTTTAATAATTAATACAAATGTTATATTAATATGATGACAGAGGAGAAAAAAAAACAAATGAGGATAAAAATAATCAAACAGCCTACAAACACTAATATTTACTAAAAAAGTTTTATTTTTTGTTATTTTAATATATTTTATAATTATTATAATATTATATTAATTAAAAAATATTTACAATTAATGTAATAATTAATAAAATATCACGATGTCCTTCTGTGAAGGAAAAACATAACTGAGACTAAAAATAATCTAACTAAATTTTTTATGAAAAATTATCATACTTTATTTCTATAAAATTATAATATTATTATAATTAATACAAATATTATATTAACATGATGACCTTCTGTAAATGAGAAAAAAATACATACATGAGGCTAAAAATAAATCAAACGGGCTACAAACACTAATATTTTTAATACATTTTTATTTTAATACATGTTTTAATATTATTAGTAATTTTATATTAATTGATAAACACACCATTATTATTATTATTATTACTATTCATATATTAAAATGACATTCTGTAGAGGAGCAAAATTACATAAATAAAGATAAAAATGATCAAACAAACTACACAGCAATTGTTTTTTAAATAAATTATTATTATGCAATATGTTGCTATTTTTAATATATTTTATAATATTATATTAATGAATAAATAGTATTATGACAATAAAAATATGATATTAACATGATGAGTATACGCAGGAGGAAATCATAAATGGTATAATAATTAATAAAAGAATGTAATGTTTTGATTATATGTTATTTAATCTATTTTCATCACATTAACAACAATATTAACACATATATTAGTTAGTATTTGTATTACTAGCAGCAGCCTAAACCACACTTTCACAAGTTTCATAACTTGACACAGCCCAGATAAAGCTGATGCTAATAATTATACTTAATATGATCATTAATTCAACCTATAATCAGAAATAATCGTAACATAGATTAATCAATTGAGTAAATAAGCAGCCGGTGACTTTGATATACTCTCACATAAAACTGTGGTCGATTAAAAACACTGAAATTCCGATAGTAAAGCATATTTACGTGTGTTCTATTAAATAGATAGATAGACAATCGATAGATAGATAGATAGATAGATAGATAGATAGATAGATAGATAGATAGATAGATAGATAGACAATCGATAGATAGATAGACAATCAATAGATAAATAGATAGATAGATAGATGATAGATATAGACAATCGATAGATAGATAGATAGATAGATAGACAGACAGATAAATATCCGAAATCAATATTTGAGCAAGTACATAATCAGCCAGTGTTCAAAACTATCGCCTTATTTAGCTCGATTCACAACGATTGTCTTATAATAATGTTTTCTAGTTTGAGTGGTACGGGTAGGTTTTTCGCGGGAAATTCGAGCAAGGCACTGCGTCATTACGTCTGTAAACATAAAGAAGTAGTCCCGGCTACTAGACTATATCGCATGTGGCGGATCGTTAATAGCCTTTTCTCACAGCAGCCGGAATAATTAAATGTATAATTTTGATGGTAGATTGTAATCCAGAAAGGATTATGTGTTTATGAAACACGTGTGAATGAAATGAAATTATATTCCAGTTATAAATGTGCTTCTGATTACAGATAGCCTGGGATTACAAAGATTTGTATTTTAAAGAAAACCAGTTCGAAGGGAGCATAATTTGCTTTTTGGGTTAAAATAATTTCTTAATATGAAATTCGAAGAGTATGACAATTAGACTAGACTGTGCAGAAATTGAAATCTACACGCTTATACACACTATACTCATAGTCACCAATGCTGATGCTGTTAACATTAACCATTGGAGAATAAAGTATAACAATAATAATAGTTTGACCGGTTTGATGTGATATGAGCTAACCGATCTTTAGATTTAATCATCATTGGTAGCGAGATTTATGGTAATGCTTTTTTTCTCAGTTGGTCAGAACAAACGTGG